ACGCTTAACCAACGGAGCCACCCAGGGGCCCCTAGAGATCCCTTTCATTCTGTGTGTATGTGTGTGTGTGTGTCTACCTGGGATATTCATCTATACACATACACACACAGACTTTGGGGGGAGGAGATAAATTGTTCTCACTTTGAATTCTATTAACATCTTGTCATTAAACTTCTGTAACATAAGTTTTAGTAATTACTCAGCATTCCACTGTCAGCCCTTGTTCATTTAACTGAGCCCCGGTTGGTTAGGCTTTTAGGTAATTTCAGACTTTTGCCATTGTTTATAATAGCAATGATACTTACACAGTGAACCCTGTTTTGTAAAATCTTGGCCACATTCATGATTTTATCTTTAGAAACTAGTAGAGTTGGTGTGACAAAGTTTATATATATATTTTTTTATTTTGGTAAAACACACATAAGACCATTACCATTCGTGACATTTCGTACATTCAGAGTGCCCTGCATCCATCACCCCATCCCATTCCAGCACACACTCATCACCCTGAGAGTAAGCCCCATCCCCACCAAGCAGTCACTCCCTGCCCCTCCCCAACCTCCTAGCCCCTGGCAGCCACCAATCCACTCGCTGGCCATGGTTTTGTCCACTCACTAAATGGCATCATGGCATCTGTGACCCCCATGTCCGGCTTCTTCACCCAGCATGAGGTTTGCAGGGCACATCTATGCTGCACTGTACATTTGCACTATTTCTTTTTTTCTCTCCCATTTTAAAAGCTACTCCATCCCTTTTTATGGCAGAGCCATATTCCATTATCGTTGGCATGGACGCACCACATTTTGTTATCCATTCATTAGTTGATGAACACCTGGGCTGCCTCCACCCTTTGGCGATGTGAATAGTGCCACTAGAACGAGCACTTTCGGTTCCCCTGGGTGTACACCCAGCAGTAGAATTGCGGGGTCATACGGGAAATCTGTGCTCAACTTTATGAGAGATGGCCAAACGGTCTGCCCCCGCAGCTGCACCATTCTGCATCCCGAGAAGCGACGCCCAAGGGCTCCAATTGCACCACATCCGCGCCAACACTTGCTATTTTCCATTGCTGTTGTTATTGTTGCTATCGTTGCCATCCTAGTGAGGTGTGGAGTGGTATCTCATGGTTTTTTTTGATTTGCATTTCCCTAATGCCTAATTGTGCTGAGCATCTTTTCATGTGCTTTTTGGCCATTTGTGTATCTTCTTTGGAGAAGGTTATGTACATTTTTAATGTTACTGAAGCAGACCTAGAAAATGTTATACCGGTGTTTCCGTTAAGCATTGGTATTTGCCTGATCTTTCCCGAGAACTATCTTTTAAAAATACAGGTAGGATTTTTTTTTAAGATAGATAGATTTGAGAGAGAGAGAGAGAGAGCACGAGCAGGGAGAGGAGCAGGGGGAGGGAGTAGGAGGGGGAAAGAATCTCAAGGAGACTCCATGCGGAGCCTGACACAGGGCTCGATCTCAAGACCCTGAGATCATGCCCTGAGCTGAAACCAAGAGTCAGATGATCAATTCACTGAGCCACCCAGGTGCCCCCAGTTAGAAATTTTAGATACTGTTCTTTTCATTTAACATTGTTTCCAACATGTTTCCAAATAATTATGCTGCTTGTAAATGTTGATAAAGTTAGACCGTTGCATACATGGTTTTCCTTATATCCTGTGAGTCTAGACTTCCAGATTTTAACTGCTGTAAATAACACCGCACTAAACGTCTTTTGCATAAAGATGTGCCCACATTTCACGATATGTCCTTAGATTCCCAGAAATGGAATAACTAGAACAGAGGCCTGAACAATTTTAAGATTCTTGAAACATATTGCAACATTAGCACAAAATGTTTTGGAATGGATTTGAAGCCTGAAGAGCTGTTTTAATTCTACTGTGCTGTGCAGTGTTGGGCCTGTCACTCAACCTCAGCTAAGTTTCTCCATCTCTAGAAGCTACCTTGAATCTCAGGTCACTTTCCATATCTCTAAAATCTATCTTCCCCTTGTCATGAGGCTATGGTAGGAAAACAGCTCTGTTCTCCGTGCATTGCTTTGATACTATTTTTAGTATTATAAAAAAATTGATAAGAAAATTTTCCTCATGTAAAAACCCCAGAGGAGAAGGCACTGCCAGGCTTGAGTTCTTCCCATCAGTCAGAATTCCTTCATAGTTATTTCTAAATCACTTGGCTTATATTCGGTGGTACGTAAGTGTGCTTTAAATGAATGAATAAAAGCATAGTGGGAAGGAAAAAATAGGATTTTATGTGTTTGGGGGACAGTACATAGACAACTGGGAGAAGCTAGTGGTGGTTCTTCACCTTTGATGACCCCTTGTTGTCTTTTATTTTCTTTTTGTTTTTATTTTTTAAATTATCATACAGTAGAATTGACTTTTTTTGGCATACAGTTCCATAAATTCTAACACAGGTATACATTCACGTAATCATCACTCTAATCTGATACAAAACAGTTCCAACTCCCCCCCAAATTCTCTCGGGCTATCCTTTTTTGGGTAAGATTTTATTTTATTTTTATTGGAAAGAAAGAGAAAGCTCACGAGCAGGGGAAGGGGCAGAAGGAGAGGAAGAGAGAGAATGCCAAGCAGACTCCGCACTGAGCGAGGAGCCTGACAGGGGGCTCCATCCCACAAGCCCACGATCATAACCCGAGCAGAAACCAAGAGTCAGACGCTTAACTGGCTGAGCCACCCAGGTGCCCCTCAGGCTATCCTGTACTCAACTCCACCCTACTCCAATTCCTGACACCCACTGATTCGTTCCCCATCACTATAGTTTTTTCTTATCAAGGCTGTTTTATAAACAAAGTAATACCTAATTTTTGATCGTGTCCTCTTTTACTCATCATGGCATCTTTTTTTTTTTTTTAAGATTTTATTTATTTATTGAGAGGGGGGAAGGGGGAGCAGAAGGAGAAGGACAAGCAGGCTCCCCACTGAGCAGGAAGCCAGATGTGGGGTTCCATTCCAGGACTCTGGGATCATGACCTGAACCGAAGTCAGATGCTTAACCAACTGAGCCACCCAGGCGCCCCCTCATCATGATGTCTTTGAGAGTCATCCAAGTTGCGTGTATTAATAGTACGGAGTTTTTTTCTTCACTGCTGGGTTGTATTCCATTGTTTACTCATCCACTTGTAGGACATTTGGGTTGTTTCCAGTTTGAGGTGAATGTGAATAAAGCCTCTTCTGAACCTTCACATACATATTTCTGTGTGTTCATAAATTTCCATTTCTCTTGGGTAAATAATGCAGGACTAGGATGGATAGGCCATATAATAAATATATGTTCAGCTTTATGAGAAATGGGAAACATATAATAAATACATGTTCAGCTTTATGAGAAATGGGAATGAGAAATAAATATATGTTCAGCTTTATGAGAAATGGGAAATCATTCCTAAGTGGCCATGATTTTGTATTCCCATAAGCGATATAGGAGTTCCACTGTTCCTTCTCACTAAACACTTGCTAATTTTTCTTTTAAATTTTAGCTGTTCTAATTGGTGTGTGGTGATATATCATCATGGGTTTGATCTGCATTTCAGTAATGACTAATGATGTTGACCATTTTTTCTTGTGCTTACTTGCTGTCTGTATATCATTTGGTCAAACGTCCATTCAAATCTCTTACCCGTTAACTAGATTGCTTGTTCTTACTGTTGAGTTTTGAGAGATCTTTATATATTTTGGATGCAAGTCCTTTGTATTTGCAAATATTTTCTCCTAGGCTGTAGGGTTGTTGTTTTTTTTTTCTCATTCTCTTAACAATGTATGTCATAAAGCAAAGCTTTTAATTTTGATAAATTCCAGTTTATTATTTTTTCTTTTATTCATTATACTTTTGGCATCATATCTTAAAAATTCTATGCTGAACCCCAGGTAACAAAGATCTTCTATGTTGTCTTCCAAAATTTGTATGATTGTAAGTTTTATATTTAGATCTATGACCCATATTATTGTGTGATTTTTCTTCTTTGGACTGTTAATATTGTGGATTACATTGATTTGAGTTTCAAATTTTGAACTAGCCTTGTATTCCTGGCATAAGCCGTACTTGGTCACATTATATTATTCTTTTTTATATATTGCTGAATTCGATTTCCTAATATTTTACTGAAGATGTTTGTGTCTGTGTTCACAAGGGCTGTTGTTCTGTACCATCTGGTTTTAGTTTCAAGGTTTGCTTGCCTCATGGAATGAGTTGAAAACCGTCCCTTCCTCTTTCATTTCTGGAAGAGATTGTATGGAACTGGTATTGTATCATTTTTAAATGTTCAGTAGAATTTGTGAATGAAACCATCTGTTCTCAAACATTTCTTTTCCAGAAAGTATTTAAGTACAAATTCGAATTCTTTTGTAGTTATAGAAATGCCCAACTTATGTATTTTACCTTGGGTGAGTTTTGGTAGTTTGTGGTTTTTCAGGAATTGGTACATTACATCTCAGTTGTCGAGTGTATTTGCACAGAATTGCTCATAATAATCTCTTACTATTGTTTTAAATATCTTCTACGTCTGTGGTGATATTCCTTCTTAATTCTTGATATTGGTAGTTTGTGTGTTCTCTTTTTTCTTTGTCAGTCTTGCTTAAGGTTTATCAACTTTATTAATCCTTTCCAAAAACCGGCTTTTGGTTTCATTGATGTTTTTCCCGATTTTTCCATTTTCAATCTCATTGATTTCTGTTATCTTTATTTCCTTCTGCTTGCTTGCTTTATATTTAGTTAGCTCTTCTTTTTATGATTTCTTTTTTTTTTTTAAGATTTTATTTATTCATTTGAGAGAGAGAGAGAGCACATGAGAGGGGGGAGGGTCAGAGGGAGAAGCAGACCCCCTGCCGAGCAAGGAGCCCGATATGGGACTCGATCCCGGGACTCCAGGATCATGACCTGAGCCGAAGGCAGTCGCTTAACCAACTGAGCCACCCAGGCGCCCTTCTTTTTATGATTTCTTACACTAGGAGCTTAGATTACTGACTGGAGACCTTTCTCCTTTTCTAACAGAAGCATTTAGTGCTATAAATTTCTCCCTAAGCACTGCATTATCTGCATCCAACAGATTGATGTTTTGTATTTTCATTTTTGTTCAGTGCAAAATATTTTCTAGTTTCCCTTGAGACTTCCTTTTTGGCTCATTGAACGCTTATAAGTGTTTGGAGATTTATAGTTCTCTTTCTGTGACTGATTTCCAGTTTGATTTCATTATAGTCAGAGAACATAGTTTGTATTTCGCTCCTTTTATAAATTGTTAAGGCTTGTTTTATGACTCAGGATATAATCTATCTTGTGAATGTTTCATGGGCACTTGAAAAAATGTGTATTCTGCTACTGTAAGTTGTAGTTTATAATTAGTTAAATCAGGGTATTGACAGTGTTCAGTTCTCCAAATTCTTACTGATTTTATGCCTCTTTTTTCTACTGAATGCTGAAGAGTGTTGAAATCCCCTACTATAATTGTGTATATTTGTCTATTTCTCCTTTCAGTTCTGTTAGTTTTTGCTTCATGTATTTCAAAGCTCCTTTGTTAGGTATATAAACATTTAGGATTGTTATGTTTTCTTAGAGAACTGACCTCTTCATCATTACGTAATGTCAACGTCTTTATCCCCGATATTGTTCCTTATTCTTAAGTGTACTTCATCTGAAATGAATATAGCCACCACTGCTTTCCTTTGATTCATGTTGCTTTCTCTACCTTTTTATTTTTAATCTACCTGTGACATATATTTAAAGTGGGTTTCTTGTAAATAGCACATAGTTGGGTATTTTTTTGAAGATCCAGTCTGACAATTTCTGTCTTTTCTTTAGGATGGTTAGACCACTTAGTTTAGTGTCCATATTGATATGGTTGGATGTAGGTCTGTCATTTTTGTATTTGTTTTCTGGTTGTTCTGTTTTTTTATGCCCTACTTTCCTTTCCCTGCTTTTTTTTTTTTTTTTTGGAGTATTTGAACATTTTTTAGTATTCCATTTTAACTTGTCTCTGGTCTTTTTTATTATATCTCTTTGTATAGTTCTTTTTTTATGTGTGATTGCTCTAAGAATTAAAAAATACTTAAGAGTCTACTTAGAATTCACATTTTGCCATTTCCAGGGGGATGTAGAAAGCCTACCATTGGGATGTCTGGGTGGCTCAGTTGGTTGGGCATCTGCCTTCACCTCAGGTCATGATCCTGGGGTCCTGGGATCCAGCCCCACATTGGGCTCCCTGCTCAGTGGGGAGTCTGCTTCTCCCTCGGCCCTCCCCCCTGCTTGTGCTCTCTCTCTCAAAAAAATAAATAAAAATCTTTTTAAGCCTACCATCCTGTAGATCCCTATCCTCTCTCCTTTTTGTTGTACTGGTCTTAGGTATTATGTCCACATACATTGAATGCCCCATCAGACTATGTTATACCGTTTATAACATTGATTTACCATCAATCATATTTTAAAGAGCACCAGGGGAGAAGAAGACGATGACTAGTCTATTATATTATCCAGGCATTCACCAGTTCTGTTGCTCTTCCTATACTCCTGAAGTTCCGAGCTTCCCTCTGGTATCATTTGCTCTCTCTCTGAAGAATTTCCTTAAGCAGTTCTTTTAGAAAGTCTGCAGATGAGGAGTTATCTTAGCATTTCTTCATCCAAGAATGTCTTAGTTTCACTTTCTTTCCTGAGGATATTTTCACTGGCTATAGGATTCTAGATTTACAGTTCTTTTATTTTGGCAGTTTTTATTCCTTATTTATGTTCTTACTCTGTCTAGTCTCCAAGGTTTCTAATAAGAAATCCACAGTCATTCAAACTGCTGTCTCCTCTAAGTAAGGCACCATTTTTCTCTGGGTCAGTTCCAGATATTTTCTTTGTCATTAGTTTTCAAAAATGATGTGTCTGGGTGTGGATTTCTTTGGGATTCTGCTGTTTGGGGTTCAGTGAGTGTCTTCAGTCAGTAGGTTTATATTTTGCCAGATTTGGGAAGCATTCAACCATTCTCTCTTCAAATACAGTTTCTGTACCACACCGTTTCTCTTCTCTTTCTGAGACTCTGATGCACAAATGTTAGACATTTTTGGATTGTTTTACAGGTCCCTGAGGCTTTGTTCATTTTTTCCCAATCATTTTTCTCTCAGTTGTTCAGGCTGGATAATCTCTATTGATCCATATTCAAGTTCACTGGCTCTTTATCTGTGTCATCGCTATTCTGCTACTGAGCCCACCCAGCGAGGTTTTTTAAATTTCATTTATTACATTTTTTTAGTTCTAAAATTTCCTTTTGGTTCTTTTTAATAGCTACTATATATTTGCCAGGGCTTTCTATTTTTCCATTCTTTTCAAGAGTACTCACCCTTACTTCATGAGGCATTTTTATATCAGCTGTCTTAAAGTCTCTGTTAAAAATTCCAACATCTGTAGCATCTCAGTGTTGGCATCTGCCGAATGTCTTTCTCAGCCAAGTTAAGATTTTCCTGCTTCTTTGTATGCTGAGCAATTTCGGATTTGTATGCTGAGCCATTTTGGATTTGTATGCTGGGCCATTTGGATTCATATGCTGAGCAATTTTGTATTATATCCTGAAATATTTGAAAACATGAGATTCTGAGTCTTGTTTAAAACTCTCGGTTTCATGGTACTTCAAATTCTGGTCTTCTTGCCCCGTCTCCCTGCTACCATTTACTTTTCAGAGTTTGCAAATAGCTATTCCACTCATCCTGTCTAGGTTTTATAGCTACATTCAGTGGGACAAACTGTATGGAGTGTACATCCTCTAGCTTACCTGGAATCAGAAACTGTCTTGATAGGCAAATTAAATCCAGCCCATAATTGGAAAAAATTCAGCCTGTAATTTTTATACAGCTGATCTCTTGAATTTTTGACTGTCTATCACATTTATACCACTATTGAACATGGTTTTCTCACCACTATGTCACCCACTGTATACCGTATACCCGGGCCTTTGGTCATGTGAAACTTTGTTTTTTCCTGTCCTCTCTGTCCTATTTTCCATCCCATCCATTGATTGGTCACTTTCTAGTTGTCTTCTTTCAGCTGGGACAAGGTTGGAATTTTCCACAAGGAACTCTATAGAGGAGGTGGGATAAGAAACAGAACTATATTGATTTGGGGGGATAATAGCAAATCTGCACAGCACTGCCCGGTCTGGAAAACACTCGTGCATCCCTTTCTCATGTCATCCTTGGTCATCCCTTAGAACAACTCATTTCACAGTTGAGGCAGTAGAACGTTTCAATATTTGAAGTGATCTCCTCAAGGTTCCTTAGTTGTGGAAGAAGCAGAACGAGGACAAGGTGGATTTCCTGGCCCCAGATTGAATGTACTTACTACAGTTTTGTGCCATGGTTTGAGAAATAACGATTTAATGGTTTCAAAGTTTGGGTAACCCAGCTTGCAAAACATCAGCCCTATGCATTTTCATGGCATGGTGAACAAGCTTGCTGCAGGATCTTTGGGTCTTAGCCTCAGTGAGGCGTGGGTGGCTCCCATAATCTGGAAGCTTTCACAGTTCCTCCCAAGATATAATTTGTTTCCATTTCCATGAGCTTTTATTAAATATCTACTATATTTCTGACACAGCTGCAAGCCCAGTATACGAAGGATGAATAAGACCATCCCCAGCCCCCTGGCCCCCATGGGCCCCAGCTGATCACCCAGGTTCTCTGGGCCTCATGGGGCCTGCCAGAAGGCTTTAGGGTAAAGTACCTGGGTGTCACAACTCACAGAGATCTCCTTTCCCTACAGTCCTCCAGGCCTCACATGAGCAAGAGAAGGAAGCCCTTACCCACTCCTTCCAGGAGGCCAAGGTGACCCTGCAGGTGAGAGGAGTCTCATGGCCATCTCTGCGGGGGAGGGGAGGACCTGCGGGAAAGCCGCCTGGCCTCTACTCAGGTGTGAGGGACAGAGGTGAGTGTCTTCTGTGTATCCAGCCCCTCGAGGTGGTGACTGGGCTATTAGCTCAAGAGGACTTGGTGTGAGATCAGGGTTGGCCTGTTTCTCTGAGGACTGTGGCTGGAGGATCTTGGAGACCCCATGGGCCGGGTACCACGGTGCGACCAGACTGGCAGGTGGATGCACGGGGAGCTGCAGAAGCATGAAGGAAGGCGTCTGAGCCAATTTATCAGGTCAGGGACTTCCCAGAGGGATGAAACCTTAGCTGGAACCTGAAGGATGGGTTGGAATTCTTCCTATGAAGAAGGGTAAGAGGGGTGCCCCAGGTAGGAAAAAAAAAAAAACAGTGTGCTTAAAGACATAGAGAAGAGGGGGAAATATGATTACCTGTGGAACTGAAAGAAGTCTAAGATGTCCTGGGATGAAGAGTATGAGTGGGAGGGAACTGAGGCTGGAGAGGAGGCGAGAGCCCAGTGGTAGGGCCCATGAGCCACATGAAAGGCGTGCTGTATCCTGAAGGTATTGGGCAAGGTTTGGGTGCGGGAAGCTCTTGGGAGGGGAATGTAAGAGGCAAAAATGCACCTGGCAGTGGGAGGACTAAGAGGGAAGACTGGGAAAGTGCAGAGCTCGCCTTGGGTGGGCTTTGAATACCAAGCTAGCACCACCAGCCTTGAACACCCGGACATTGTCCCCGAGGGCACTGGGAGTCATTAAAGGCTTTATGACCAGAGATGGGGCTCATATGCTTCAGGCAGCAGTTAAAGCAAATCAAGCCTGCATTGGTGGGTAGGGCAGAGTAAAGATGGAAGAACCCAAACTGCCCCCTCTGCGGGATGTGCAGAGGTCCACCTCCAGCCTTTATGAACCAGGCTTTGACCATCTCCCTCCCATCCCCTTCTCCAGGAGACCATAGATGGACTGTCCTCGCAGCTGGAGGTCTTCCAGGCCAAGATGAAGAGGGTAGAAGAGTCCATTCTGAGCCAAGACTATAAGAAGCACATCCAGGCAGGTGGCAGTATGCCTGGGAGCTTTTCCTTCTCAAATCTCCGGGGAGGTCAGGGCCCGGGCAGCAGGAAAGGCCAGGCCCTCTTCAAGGCCAGGGCTAGACCTGACACTCTCACTTTCACAAGGGCCTGGAAGAAACAGGGTCCGTGTGCCACTGAGGGGGCAGGTAAGGCTGAGAGAGAAGCATAGGGGATAGTAAAGTGCTTGGGCTCTGGATTCGGAAGGAACTAGGTACAAAGAGTAACCTACCAGTTAGCATAAACAACTTAACCTCTCTTGGCTACAGTTCCTCATCTATGGTGGGAACAGGGCTTGCCACAGAGGGTATTATTAGGCCAGGAGGAGATCAAGCATATCAAGCTCACTTACCGTGAGCCAAGGGAGGGAAGTGACTTGTGAGAGGCAGACAGTGATTTGGAGGCAGAATGGGAAAGCGGCAGGTAGCCCGTGCCCCTCTCTCTCTGCCTGCTGGTCTGATGCGATCATTCTGGGTCCCTGTCTAGGATTACGGGAGCCCCAGCCTGTTCTGGGAGCAGGAACTGGAGAGCCTACACTTTGTCATCGAGATGAAGAACGAGCGCATTCACGAGCTGGACAAGCGGCTGATCCTCATGGAAACAGTGGTCTGTGCTTAGAAGCAGCTGGGGGGATGTGGCCTCAGGCTTCTCCTTCCTGGGCATTTTCTCTGTAAAGTGTGTGGAGGGAAGGCACTTTGAGGAGGTTCCAGCCTGGGCCACACCTGCTTCGACCTGCCACCCATGGTGGCCCTTGAGACAGCTGAGGCTGGTCTGTGGCCAGTCTGGGTCAAGCAGTGGCCCCTTCTCACCTGGGCCCTGTGCTTTCTTGGCTACTCCTGTTGCTCTAACTTGGGGGCCACGAGGGCAGGTACCCTGGCTAATCAGGAGGGGCTGGCCGATGTCAGGCAGGGGCTGGGGAGGAAGGCAAGGCTGAAAAATCAGACAGAGAGGAGGCCAGAATCATCAAGGACAGGCCTGGGGAGTGGTGGGCATGGAACACACTGATGGCTTTGTTTACAGGAAAAGGGAGGCCTTGGGAACCTCGGGTGGAATCCAAACAGAGATTGTGTTACTCCAGAAGAAGTCTCCCTGCTTGTGTATACCACACAACCTCTATTCTAATCCGACCATCTCCGATGTTCCCTGTGAATTCTGTTCAGCCATTTCTGTGGAATAGCATAACAGACATATGTAATTTTATTTATATAGATTATATCCTTCTGACTTTGGAGAACCAAAAATATCCTTTCCCTTACGCACCGATGGAGACGTTAGATGGGAGTGGCTGTATTCTTTTGTTACATCTCATGTGGCAAAATTAAAAATTGGCAGCCCTGTGTTCACTCCTTGGTTATGTTTTTTAAAGTAATCTTACTGCTTCGCGAAATGTAGCATCGAGTCCAGAATGAGTCAGTGTTTTCACGACCACAGATAAGAGGGAGGCAATGCCCTCTGTTGTGCCGTGTGCGGTCGGTGGCTTTCTGAGCTCCTTCTGATTTGTTACAGAAAGAAAAAAATCTGATGTTGGAGGAAAAAATCAGCACCCTGCAGCAGGAGAACGAGGACCTCCATGTCCGGGCCCGCAACCAGATGGTTATGTCAAGGTAGCTATCTCCCAGCCTCCTCTCCTCCCATCACCACCGTGGTCCACACCTCCAGTTGGGAGGGTCTCGGAGAACCCAGGGAATGGATTGACAGGCGGGCCCAGGCCTTTCTGGGGAATGTGGTTCCCTCTTTCCTTGAGAGGCAAGAATCCCAACGGACCAGCTCTGCCCAGAAACCTAGGTCTCAGTGCCCTGATTGGTATCTGTCCCCATCCTGGCTGAGTCGACTCCATGGCAAAGCCCAATACAGGAATAGGGGACAGGAAATTTCTAGCTGGGGTGACCTAATGAATGAATGAATGTACATGAATGAATGAACCTGTTCTAAAGGCTTGGTAAATGAGAGCCAGGATTATGTGTCAGACATAATTCATTGAATTCTTTACATATTATCTCACCTAATCCTCATAATTACTCAAAGAACCGGTCCACCTAGTATCACTCCCATTTTACAAATGAGGAACCTGAAATTTGGCAGGAGTAAAGAACTTGTTCAAGGTTACCCAGCTAAGTGGTGGGGCAGATCTGAACCCAGAGATGTCTGCCTGTGAGGGCCACACTCCTCCGTCAAGGGATCCAGTGACCTCTTGCATCCAGGCGGACGACAGGGCCCTGGGGGCCCTGATGCGGGCTGGCGGCCCATCTGAGGAAGGCCTCCTAGAGGACCGGGTTGCTCGGTGCAGCCGCCGACTGGCAACCTGGGCCCCTGTCTGCATCCACAGGCAGCTCTCGGACGACCTCCTTCTCGCCCGCGAGGCCCTGGAGAAGGAGTCCCAGTTGCGGCGACAGCTCCAGCAGGAGAAGGAGGAGCTGCTGTACCGGGTCCTGGGGACTGACGCCTCCCCTGCCTTCCCCCTGGCCTCTGTCACCCCCACTGAGGTCTCCTTCCTCGCCAGCTAGGGCCCAGGGCCTGGGCCCGCCATGACGCCTGTGGTCACAGCTCCCTCTTGAGGACTTACCAGAGAAGACAGCAGGAGCCTCTCGTTCTTTTCCCAGGAAGGGCGGAGGGCAGGGGTGAGGTGGGAGCCAGGGTGTGTGCCCAGGGAGCCCTGGGGGCTTGGGCTGTGCAGGATCACCCATGGGGCTTCGAGGCCCCAGATGCGCCTTCCCTTGAGTTGGCCCAGGGAACAAGCAAGAGGAGTCCGTCCATCCCTCCCTGTTCCCTCTGTTCAAATCAGGGAAGTCCTGAGCTTTTTCCAGGGGCAGCCAGCGCCGCGGAGGCCACCTGACAAAGAGACAACCCCCTGCTCCTGACTCGTTAGCTTCCCCCAGATGTTCTCGCCTCTGCTCAGACCCTCCCTTAGTCTCAGTTTACCACTCCTCTAAAACAGCCAGGGGAACTGAACGAATGATCCTTGAGTCACTACAGTGTCCCATTCTAGGATTGTTTAAAGGTCAGACGAGGGGCTGGGGGACAGGAGAGGAAGTGGGCCAAACCCTGAGAACCAACAGGGAAAGGTGGGCAGCTGGAAAGGGGGTCACTGGAGGCCCTTGGGGCTGACGGTGCCAGGGCCCAACTCAGCCAAGGCAAGGGCTGGGCATGACCCAGGGCATGCCACTGCTCCTGGTCCCAGAGTCTGGTCAGCCCAGGGGTTAAGCCAGAGCTCCTCCTCCCTGACCAGGCAAGGCTCACTCCTCAGCCCTCTGGGTCTCTCAGTCTCAGGGCCACCTGGGCACGGGGCCACCTCGTGGGTCTGGGTACACCTAACTGCCAGAGTGGGGAACCTCGTCCCTGTACAGATGAGGAAACCAAGGTGGGGAGTGGGACCCACAAAGCCAGGACTAGGACCTCATCTGTCATCCAGCTCATAGCTTGCTGTGCTTGTTTTTCTCCGCAGGCTCTGGAAAGATCAGATGTGTGACTTAGTCTTTCTCTTCCTTCCTCTACCTGCCCCCACCCACTTCCAGGCTCTCTCTTCCTCCTGCTTCCTACCTTTACTCCTTCTACCACCACTGATGCCAGGCGCCAGGACCCCAGAGCCTGGCCCTCAGCTTCCCCATCCATGCAGAGGGGTGGCCAGAGTGAGCAACCTCAGCAGGCCTGTCCAGCCCTGGCCGTCTGTGGACTTATTCTTCTCAGGAAGCTTCGGGTCAGCTGGACACTATAATGAGAACCCCTCCCCTGCCCAGAGCATTTTAATTCAATGCTCTCAGAGACACCTCCCTCCCGTCAGCTACCTAAGATTCTTGAAACCAGTTCTTACCCCTCTTCAGCAGCAGAGCAAACTGAGATCACAGGAGTCGAAGGGCCTTGCCTGAGACTCCCCAGCTTCAGCTCCAGGTCCCAGACTAGCAAGTAAGAAAGGTCAGTCCAGTAGAACTAAGGTTGCTCCATCATCCCAGACTGCCTTCTTCATTCCCTGGATCTGGTCTTCAGCCATTCCTTGTTCGAGGAGTTCAGATGTGACTCTGTTTCTCCATTTCTCCCCTAGGAGGGCTAGGGGAGTGCTGAGCTGCTTCTCTGGCCGTGGGCAAACAGATTATCTATCTGGGAGCCTTGGGGACAGCTCTGGAGTGAAGTACACATGTACTTCTTCATGTAACTTTTCCCAAAGGTTGTCTGGGATACACTAGTTCATTGCACATTAATAGGCATGACCAAGAAAAAAATTGATAGCCAAGTAATTTGAGAAACTCTAGATTCAGTCAAGTTAAACAGATCTGCAAAGTGCAGGACTTCTCAGAACCTTTAATATGCTAATGTGAACTGCAAATTTCCAAGAAGGAAGCAGAGTATCCAGCATTTTCTATACTCCCTTGACCAACTTCCTACTCCAACCTAAGTACTTCAGGCTGCAGAATACACTTTAGAAAGATGAGAAGGGCTAGGCTGCAGAACGGGCAAGTTGTGGGGAGCAGGGTTTCCCTCATGTAGCCTATGGCGGAGGCAGGGAGATAAATTGTGGTCACTCCCTCACCCTGCGGCACACAAGCCATGGAAATTATGTTATTTTATTTATTTGGCCCCTGTGTTTTCCTGGGAGAGGGAGGAGGAGGCTCCTCGCTGAGGACCCCTGCTAGTGGCAGGGACCATTGAGGAGTATGTCCTGGGCCTGAGTGACTTGCCACTGGCTCTGTGCTCCCTCCTGGGGTACTGGTGCCCCACTGGCCCAGCTTTGCCCAGCCCTGGAGTGGGGTCTGATGTTGGAGTGAAGGCTGGCCATCAGAACAGGTCAGGGCTTGGAGGGAGGCTGTGAGGTTGATGCAAGGCATAGAAGCCGTGATGGGCGGGCAGAGTATAAGGGGTGAGCGCAAAGGTTCTTTTTGCACTCTTTTGGGAGTGACAACTCCTTGGCATCAAAAACACCAAGGTTCACACTGTTACCTACCCCTGTTCCTGCCCACTGCTCCACACCAGCATGCCTGCAGCTAGCAAGGGAGCTAGGAAGGGGCAGGGGGAACATGAGGGCTTCTGGTCACATGGACACGGGTGGTGGCAATCCCCGTGCCCTGCAAGTTGGTGGCCTGGCAGGTGTAGATGCCAGAGGCCCCAGCCCGGGCCTCTTCCACATACCGGGTGCTCCGTGCCTCCTGCAGCACCTGGCCCCCTCGGCGAACGACGCTGGCCCACTCGCTGACATAGGGGGGTCGGCCCAACTGCAGGGACAAAAAAATAACTGTCCATCAGCCAGCCCAGGTGTCCTCTCTGACTCAGGCAAATGAGAGGCACTGTGTATTCCGTCAGGGATGGGGACTCGTCCAAGGTCATACATGCAGATCAGAGCACCTGAAAGGCCAGGTTCTTTGTGGCAAATGTGAGCTTCTCAAGTCCCTGAGGAGAAGCTGGGGTCTCCTCCCTGACTCAAGGAAATGCAGGAAGTAACTTGACTGGGAGCAGTACCCCCCCAGTATGGCCCTCTGGTTTTGTGTGGTTGTTAATGGGTGCTACCTCCCCAAGGCGGGGCGGGAGGTGGGGTTCTATTATGAAAATTGTTTGGAAAACACTGAGTCAAGCAAAATTAAATTGGAGAGACTCAGAGCACCGAGTCTGTCACGTGTGCATGTGAGTTTTGAATCTCCAAGGCAGGTGATGGTTATAAGAGGCAGTGTTTTCCTAAAAACACTTTTCTTCGGGGTCTGGGGCTGGATTTTTTGGTATCCCACCATTCCAAGGACCGTGTTTGGGGCAAGGCACAGCAAAGCCATGTCTTCCCAACCATCGGTGGGTCCTTTTCCCCTTATTGGGTCTCCGTTTCCATTGTGGACAAGTGGGAGAATGATCCCCCACTCTTCCCCTCCTAAGGCCTCTGGGGAGCTCACCTTCACCATGTCTTTGCTGGTCCAGCCCTCCCTGCAAGGCTCAGATCAAATTCCAGCTCTTCCAAGAAGCCCTTTTAGGAATTCCTGCAGTTGTCAGTGCTGGTGCATCTACTGTGTGACCCAGCTGCTCTCCAGGTGTTTGAGGTTATGGGGCTAAGTTCTTTGAGAGGAAGGACCATCACTACCACCTGTCAAGTAACACCTCTAGGAAGGTCTGGCCCACGGCAGGTGCCCAGGAAACAGTTGCTAAAGGATTTTGTCCATCTCTTATTACACACACACCAGCCATAGGGCCTGAGCACTTGCCCCAGCCCCGTGCTCATGAGATCCGGGCCAGTCCAGCCTCAGCTTGAATGTCACCTCAGAGAAGACTCCCTGACCACTCTCTCTTAAGAAGACCCTATCACACTGCCCTGTTGTATCGTTGATGTAGCGCTTGGTATTCTCTCCATGATCATGTTCATTCCCCACTTCTTCCTCCCTGGGTAGATTGTAAGCTGGAAGACAGCACAAGTCAGAGGTCTTTTGGCCTCATCCTTGTGGTCTCCGCGCTAAGCACAGTGTCTGGCATGTGGTGGGTGCTCAGTAATTATCGTTGGATAAATTAACGAAGGAACACATTATACACTTTATACAGTAACCTAAACAAGGAAACTGAGGCCCAGAAAAGGGAAGTGACTTGCCCAGTGTCACTCAGAGTAGCAGTCCAGCAGTGGTTCCACTCCACCACAATTGCGCCCGACCCTCATCCTAATTCCTCACTCCCGTGCTCTTGGCCAACACACCATCACCACAGACACACATACGCAGCCTTTTCTTCCCCTCTGCTTACCTTCTGCCCTGGATATTCCCAGATAAAATCCACAGCAATCTCCGGCTCACCCAGAACTGTACAAGTCACACCAAAGTTCTCTCTCAGTTGGACTGATGTGGCTGAAGCTTGGACGGGGGGTGTGGGGGAGGAAGACGGGTCTGCCATGGAAAGATGGGAGAGAAATGGGGACAAACATGTTGAACTGATTGTTAGAACAATTGAATGAAATGAATGGGCGGAATGGTTACATTCATAGAGGATGAAGGGTTGGGTTGGTTGAATGGATAGAGGATGGGTAGCTGATGGAACAGATGGAGGATGGGTGAATGGAGTGGTTGATTTGAGGGAAGATGGATGAATAGAATGGTGTGGCATGACTGAGAATGAGTATGGATGGACAGAAAGGCTGGTGGTCGCTCAATAGCTGATTGGCTGGCTGGCTGGAACAAGATAGTTGACTACATGGGGTGTTGTTGAAAGCTGGTTGGTTGTTTAGAGTTCCATAATCCACAGAACCCAAATCTGAGGTTGCTAAAGGAGGCATCTCTCCCCATATCCTCCCTTGCCCTGCCCACCCAGGCCCCAGGCCCACACGCAGTTGATGTAGATCAGCATGTACTTGGTAGAGATTTGTCTCAAGCTGCCCAGGCTGGCCAAGCAGAAGAGGGCCAGCCAAGGAATCTCGGGGCCAGTCGATGGTGAAGCCCTTATTCACATCGAAGGAGATGTCGATCCCATCCACTGGGACTTCCTCCGGGGGGAACTCCCAACGCAGTGTCACCCGGGCCAGAGGGTTGGTCACCTGGCAGGGAAGCAGGAATGGCTGATGGCTGCGCAACTGTCCCACTTCATAAGAATCCTCAGTGGGGACAAAGAGCTCCTCTGGGTCTGGGAAGGAAGGCGGGATAGAGAAGAACGAGCATGGCCTAAATTAGCTGTTTCCTGATGCTCCAGCACCCACGAGCAAGAGGTCCCTCATGGGGACTTAAAATCCCACTTTCCCTGCCCATTCTCAGTCCTAGACTGAGAACTGAAGCCCAGCCTGCTAGTTCCCTCTTCGTCATTTTGATTGGCGTTCTTGGAGACCCCGACCTCAGGGCATCTGCGAGGAAGATGAAGGTCTTTCCGTGGCGGGCCTCGCCCTCAGCGTACGCGCTGTCCTGGCCGAGCTGAGCGCAGCAGCTGTAGTCCTGGTGTCCGCGCCTGTGGAGTTCACCAGCTGCTGCTGGCTGTGCCGGCCGAAGGGCTTGATTCCAAAAGACAGTCGTGGGGCTGGCCCAGGGTGCGGCGGGCAGCAGATGGGAGTGGCCGGGGACACCTAGTGAGCAGCGTTTAGCCGGCTGACAGCCCTCCTCCCCCGTGCTCAGCACGCCGCCCACCCAGTCTTCGCCCTTCCCCACTGATACCATGAGGATTTGTAGTGACCTCACCTGGTTTCTGATTGCTCGCCTCTCACCAGCCCCATGCACATCTCCTAATGGGTCCATCTACTCGTCACAGAGCTTGTCCTTCCTTTGCAAATGGCATGCCCCAAACTGCTCTGTGCTCCCTCCTTGGCTCCTCCCATGTGTCCCTCTGTTCAGGCGGCAAATGCCCTCTAAGCAACTCCACCCCCTAACAGAGGCAGTGTCCCAGCAAATCTCACTTTAAGAGGCTGAGCTGAGAGAGGGTAGACAAATCTCCTGACCCGGATTTATATCCCAGCCTCTGCCTGATTTTCTTCTGGACTGGGGTGAGCAATGCTGGTGGGGTCAACTTTGCTTTTATTTCTGCCTTCCCTATGTTGGTGTCCCCGACATAAGGGTGTCTCAGCCTGACATTCAAACACAGGCGGGACAGTCAGCCTCCTTCCCTTCCCATGGCCACCTTACTCCCTACAGGCACTATGTGCTGCCCCCAGAAATGACATCCAGTACTGTGGGAAGCCATGTCTCCCCTTCTGTTGAACCACTATGCATCTGATGGGTCTTGTGAGCCCATCTTACTGTTCCTTTTTTTTAAAACATTTTTTAAAAGATTTTATTTATTTGAGAGAGAGAGAGAACGAGCAGGGAGGGGGGCGTGCTGGGGGAGAGGGACAAGCAGATTCTGCTGAGCACAGAGCCTTATACAGGGCTCCGTCCCAGGACTCTGGGATCATGACCTGAGCCGAAGTCTGACGCCTAACCGACTGAGCCAGCCAGGGGCTCCCTGTTTCTTTTAGATGCCTGCAGTTGTACCTACTGGAAGCCCGTCGTGGGTTCTGGACCACTCTAATCACCATAAAAACTGTCCTCAAGTTGTCTGTGAACTGCTGCCCCCTCCTGGACCCATTCATGCTGTCACAGGAGTTCCTCCACCTCCTACCTCAGGCGTTCCTCACCTTCCTCCTCCAGGTTCGCAGGTACCCTCCAGTGAGCTACCTGCCCCGCCAGCGCAGCTCCAGGGGATCCCCAGCCCACAGGCTCAGAGAGTCCCCCGCCTTCTGGAAGCGGCCCCTCCCCAGCCCCTGGGTCAGGATGCGGTGGGGGGCGGGGGGGTTGCGGCGCTGGGCTGCCGCCTCCGCTTCTGCGGGAGTCTTCATCTACAGGGACTTCTGGCTCAGGTCTGATTTGGGTTTCCTCCTGCCTGTGGCTCCTGAGGGCTACCTCTCCAGGGCTGGTGGCTTTAAAGCCTCTCTTTTTCGGAGCCTTTGGAGTTCTGGCCGGCTCCTGGACTTCAGCTGCAGGGAGATGAGGTGAGTGTGGGGCCACCAGCCTTCACCATTCATCTCACATGGGGTCCTCTCCTCCCCCCAGCAGTTGGCAGAACCTCAGAGCTCTGTAAGGAATCCTCACTCTTTCGAGAAAAATTATAAAATACAGACAAACCAAGAAAAAGGGATTAAACTTGCCCCCAAACTTACCATCCAGAAATAACCACCATGATTATTTGAAGCATATTTTTCCAAGGCTTTTTTTTTTTTTTTAAGATTTTATTTATTTATTTGACAGAGAGAGACACAGCGAGAGAGGGAACACAAGCCCGGGGAGTGGGAGAGGGAGAAGCAGGCTTCCCGCTGAGCAGGGAGCCCGATGTGGGGCTCGATCCCAGGACCCTGGGATCATGACCTGAGCCCAAGGCAGACGCTTAACGACTGAGCCACCCAGGTGCCCCTCCAAGGCTTTTGAATGCAAATATTTTAAAGACATTGTTAAAAAAATAAAATGGAACCATAGAACACATATTTTTAATAATCTGTTTTTTCACTTAGTAGTATGTTGTGATTACCATTCCATGTCAATAAACACACGTGTACCAAAACGTTCTGAACGATTTCCATGGTATTTCGTGGTAGGGATGTAACAATTTATTTCTTCATTGTTGGGTATTTGGGTTTTTCCACATTCTTAGCCAAAATAATCAGTTCTGCAATAATTATTTCTTGCATGGGGACGCCTGGGTGGCTCAGTCAGTTAAGCGGCTGCCTTCGGCTCAGGTCATGATCTCAGGGTCCTGGGATCGAGTCCCGCATTGGGCTCCCTGCTCAGTGGGGAGCCTGCTTCTCCCTCTCCCTCTGCTTGTGCTCTCTCTGTCAAATAAATAAAATCTTTAAAAAAAAATTATTTCTTGCATGCACCTTTGATCAGATTGCTTCCTTAGAATGAATTCCTTAGAAATGGAATAGCTGGTGGGCTATGGAAGGGAACTTACACACTTTCTTATCCAAGTGCCAAAACCTTCCAGGACACGCTCCAAAAGAGGTCACTTAACCTGCACTTAGATATGTCCAGCGATGGGGAGCTCAGTATTTAACGGTACTAGTAGCTACCATTGATGGCGCCTACAGTGTTTCTGGAAGAGTACTGGCCCCTTTCTATACATTTTCTTATTTCATCCTCCTAATGACTGCAAAGTAAGTGTTATTCTTATTTTACGGATGAGGAACTTGAG